GTACACACGTTTTTACGAAGCGGTTTTGGAGACCAGGCTGTGCGGACAGAGCAGTGATATGACGTCCTGCATTTAACAAAGATGCTTTTCTGAGGGTCCAATGATGCCGATTACATCGTCCAACCCTCAGCAGGACACATTTTTCGCTGATATTCCAAGATTTCCCGTGAGAAGTGAGACCCAAACCTTCCGATCCAAATGTCCCTCATTCTTAATCCACTAAAGCTGCCGTCTAAAAGAGTTCAACGTGTCATAACCAGCCGTCATAGCAGGCGACCCTGTTTCAGCTTCTTTTAAATGCACCTTAGCTCACCCCCCCCCCCCCCGTGGGGGGAGAGAGACGGGTATCTGAGAGGATTTGCGCTGTGGGCTTGAACCCTTGTGTGTGTAGTGTGTGGCGTTGTGTACAGTAGTAGTATCAGTGTGTATATCTCTACCTTTGTGCTCACAGCTCGTTGGCTTACCGCTTTGGATTGGATCCACAGAGGGAGTTACATTATTATTAGTTTTCCTCTGTCGATGTTTAGATTTATTTTTATTTTTATTAAAACTATAATATTATTGTTATTCACTATTGATGATAATTGCTGTAGTTTTTACGTAGAAGGAGCACTTGTGAAAATACTAAGCTATTATACAAATCATACATTAATAATGATAATCTGTTCATTTTCCCGCCAAAAACTCGACTGCGACTGCTCTCTGGTGGGGGCGGGGTCAAACATGCGTCAAGCTCCGCCTTCCGAGTCAACATCTGTCACAGCGTCGCCTCCTCTGTAAATATCTTCCGTTTCGAAAAAACATTTCGCCGAGTCCAGAGCGAATCCCCCCCCCCCCCCCCTCCCATCAGCCGCCATGTTGCTTGAGTTCACGTGAGGAGGGGACGTCAGGGGACGTCAGGGGACGTCAGTGGGACACTGACTGCGGGTAAATAAGAATCCGAACGAATCCAAGACTCAAAATGTGGCGTTAAGTCCAGAATCCGATTAAGAACCAAAGACACGAAGAGAAAGCGAAACAACGTCTCACGGGACACATCGACGCCAGCGTCCACGTGAACATACACGCATCCACGTAGGACAAACGTCACACCTCACACAATCCACAGGGAGTCACAATGGGATGTTTCGCACCTTATTATTTGGACTTTGTGTGAAACAACGAGGCCAAAAGAGAAGCACTGCCGTCTTTTTACCGAAAGAAAAACCACGCGAGCGCTCAACTCCCGAGAAGCACAAACGCAGACGTATTAAAATAGATCAAAACGCGGTTAAATATTCATTCCCGTCAGTCATCCGGCGCGCGTCGCGGAACCAGGGCCTCCTCTTGTGTGTCTTCTTTGCGTCTCGCTGTGTTTAGAATAAAGTTCATATCATCAGAAGGGATCTGAGATCCGCAGCATCTATTTTCATACAGTAGCTTTTCCTACATGAGCTGAGCTCCCAGTTCAGAACCCGCACAGCCGTTTGTGTTAATGTTCCACTTTTGTACAGAGCCGGTCCCTCGATTCCCCTGAAGGATCTGTGCTCCGGGGGGGGCGGGGGGGGACGGGGGGGACGGGGACAACATCAGAGATGCTACAAAACCGATTGTCCACACGGGGCATCGATTAGAGTCCCGATGAAACAAGTGGACGTTTTATCAAACGGGGACCACGATGGGGACGGAGGAGAGACCCAAAGAGCTAAAGTGTCTCCGCCGGCCCCCTGCGGCTCAGAATCCTTCTCCTGGGGGGGACACGGACCAGAATAATAACTCATTGATTGCTTTATTCTGCCTCCCAGTATGTACCAGTTACACTCCCTTCAGAGTCGACTTCCTTTGACACGAATTTCTTTTCTCAGAGAAAACAATTTGCAAAAGAATG